TTTACTGCATGCGTATGCAGTAAGATGTATATAAAACCCTAAACCTTTGTTGTAATCTTCAGTATGAATTAATCAGATTGCCTTCTATTCTTCTTTTACTTGATCAAAACCTAGCAACAGCTAGTTCATATTTTAACATGGTATCAGAGCACCGTTTCTGGTGACTCTGAATACCCCAACGCTTCCGCACCACAACAAACAATACCAACATCATGAGTGAATCAGAAGTCAACACAAGATCATCAGAGATGACGACTGATCTCTTGAACCCGTTCTTGTTACATCCCTCTGATCAACCTGGGAACATCTTGGTCTCCAAAACCCTTCAAGGAGACAACTACAATACATGGAGCCGTGCTATGCGTATCAGTCTAAGTGCTAAGAACAAGTTAGGTTTGGTCGATGGAACCGTTGATCCTCCTGTTAAAACAGATAAACAATTTGCACTGTGGCAGCGGTGCAATGACATGGTCCTTGCGTGGATCCTGAACTCTGTGCATGAAGACATTGCAAGCAGCGTTTCCTACTACACGTCAGCAACAGATGTATGGGCTGACTTGTGTGATCGTTTCTCTCAAGGGAATGATTCACGTGTTTATCAAATTAAGAGAGAGATTGTTGAGCACAGACAGGAGCAACAATCCATCTCAGCATACTACACAAAACTGAAGGCATTGTGGGATGAATTAACGTCCTACCATGAACCCCCAACATGCACCTGTGGGGGTTTGAAGAAGATCAATGAACGTGATGAAAAGGAAAAGGTGATGCAGTTCCTCATGGGACTCAATGAATCTTATGCCGCGGTACGTGGGCAAATCTTGTTGATGCAGCCACTCCCAGACACTTGGAAGGCATATTCTCTTGTTTTACAACAAGAGAAGCAAGTGGAAGTTTCTCTTACCCGCAATAGCAACAATCTGCATGCGATGAATGTGACTAGTCACAAGGAACCTGCTGCACAACGAGGTAATTCATTTCTTAAATGCTCATATTGTGATCAGAAATATCATACTGTGGACCGCTGTTTCTACCTCTACGGCTTCCCACCGGGGCACAATTTCCATGGCAAAAGGGTGACGCCTCCTAACAAGAAGAAACCTGCGGCAAACCATGTGAAGGCAAGTGATGAAGTTGCAAAGGGGACTGATCAGCATCACCTTGGAACCCCCAGTGACGGGCCCAAATTCACTGCTGAAGAGTATGCTCAAATCATGGCCATGCTCAAGAAAACCAACCTTGATGGTAATACACAACATTTTGCAAATGCCGCAGGTACTATTAAGCCCTTATCTAATTTGTCAGGAGCTTTAGCACAGAAAACTCTATATTGGATCATTGACAGTGGGGCAACGGATCATATTTCTCCTTCTCCTCACTTACTTGACAAGAGATCCATGATAAATTCTGTGCACATGCCGAATGGGGGCAAAGCCACTATAGAGTCTGTTGGTTCCATTCAAGTCACTCCTCTCATTAAAATTGATGATGTGTTGCATGTTCCAAATTTTCGAGTCTATTTATTATCCGTTAGCAAACTCACAGAGTCTCTGAGATGCATAATGATTTTCTTCCCCACTTTCTGTGTAATATAGGACATGGATACGAGGAGGACGATTGGCCTGGGCAAACGATATAATGGGCTCTATTACTTGTCGACGGATCAAAACCCACATTTTGCTCACAACATCAACCGTCACTCCAACCTTTGGCACCAACGCTTAGGGCACCCCTCCACCGGACCTTTACAATCTTTGACCAAGCAAGTTCCAAATATTGTGTTTGATTCCAACCATTCATGTGATATTTGTCCTCTTGCTAAGCAAACTCGTTTATCTTTTCCATCTAGTTTTATTTCATCACAAGCACCTTTTGATTTGATACATTGTGATATTTGGGGACCTCATCGAGTCAATTCCCATTCGGGGGCTCGATATTTCCTTACCATTGTTGATGATTATTCACGGTTTACTTGGATTCACCTTATGCGTTTAAAGTCTGAAACACAAGGGTTGTTGTGTTCTTTCATTGCTTGGGTTCAAACACAATTCAAATGTGTGATCAAAACAATTAGGGCAGATAATGGGGCTGAATTCACTTCTTTACGACCATTTTTTGATAGCAAAGGCATTGTGTTTCACACTTCTTGTCCCTCTACTCCTCAACAAAATGGGGTAGTTGAAAGAAAACATCGCCATCTTTTAAATGTTGGAAGAGCACTCCGTTTTCAAGCCAACTTACCTTTAATCTTTTGGGGGGAAAGCATTCAAACAGCATGTTATTTAATCAATCGCTTACCCACACCACTTCTTCACCACAAAACTCCTTTTGAACTTTTACATCGTACCCTTCCTGATTTTACTCATTTACGTGTGTTTGGTTGTTTATGCTATGTCACGAACCTCCATCCTGCACACAAATTTGATCAACGTGCTCACAAATGTATATTTGTTGGCTATCCTCTCGGACAAAAGGGGTACCGTGTTTATGATCTCACTTCTCACAAATTTTCCACTTCCCGTGATGTGGTTTTTCATGAAAACACATTTCCTTACATTTCCCAGCCCCCTGATCACCAACTTGATAGTATTGTCCTACCTTTACCCCTTGACACTCATCCTCACCCTCATCCTTCACCTGACCCTCATCCTTCACCCGACACTCACCCCTTCCCTAACCCCATACCATCTCACCGTGATTCTAATCCCCCACCTGATCCCATCACATCTCTTAACCTCGACACCCCACTTTCCCCGGATCCTGCCCCTCCGCCACTTTCCATGGTTCCTCGCCACTCCCACCGTATCCCTAAACCCTCCGTGCGACTTCAGGGCTACCATTTATATCATGTCAACTCTCTTGCCCCTGGTGCCACCTCCTCTTCCATGTCAGGTACACGCTATCCTTTATCTCACTATGTTACTCATGCTCATCTTTCTCCTTCACATCGCTCTTTTGCTTGTGCCATTTCCACCATTGTCGAACCCACTACTTTTGAACAGGCCAACAATGATCCTAAGTGGCAAGCTGCCATGCAATCTGAACTTCTTGCCCTTGAACAAAATCATACTTGGACTCTCACTCGCCTCCCTCCCGGTCATCGGGCCATTGGTTGCAGATGGGTCTTTAAGGTCAAGTACCATTCTGATGGGTCTGTCGAACGTTATAAAGCTCGTCTTGTTGCCAAGGGTTTCACTCAGCGTGAAGGTATCGACTACAAAGAAACATTCGCCCCTGTTGCCAAACTAATTACAGTCCGTTGTCTTTTGGCCGTGGCTTCGGTTCGCAATTGGTCTCTTCACCAAATGGATGTCCAAAATGCCTTTCTCCATGGGGACCTTGGGGAAGAGGTCTATATGCAGCTGCCTCCCGGTCTTCGTCGGCAGGGGGAGTATGATGCATGCCGACTCAACAAGTCCATCTATGGGCTCAAACAAGCTTCTCGTAGCTGGTTCCACAAGTTTTCCACTGCCATACACCAAGCAGGATATCAACAATCCAAGGCCGATTATTCCTTGTTCACCAAGGTACGTGACCATTCATTCACGACCGTACTAATCTACGTCGATGACATGATTATCACAGGTAACGACGAGGAGGCCATTCGTGATCTCAAACTGTTCCTTCACACTCATTTTCGAATCAAGGACCTTGGACCGTTGAAATATTTTCTCGGCGTCGAAGTGGCTCGGTCTTCTCAAGGTATTTCTATCTCTCAACGGAAATACACACTTGACATTCTTGATGAAGCCGGCTTACTTGGCGCCAAACCTGCAAAGTTTCCCATGGAAGAAAACTTGAAGTTATCCCCAACTGAAGGACAAATCCTCCACGATGCGTCGAAGTATAGGAGGCTTGTTGGTAAGCTCATTTATCTCACGATCACCAGGCCAGAAATTTCATATGCAGTTCATGTCCTCAGTCAATACATGCAGCAACCAAGAAAACCACATTTGGATGCAGTTCATCGGCTCTTGCGGTACTTAAAGGGGGCACCTGGACAAGGACTTTTATTCCCATCAAAAGGGGACTTAATTCTGACTGGTTATTGTGATGCCGATTGGGCTCGGTGTGCAATTACAAGGAGATCTGTTACAGGTTATTGTGTTTTTCTTGGAGGTGCATTGGTGTCTTGGAAGACTAAGAAACAAACAACTGTTTCTCGGTCTTCAGCAGAGGCGGAGTATCGCGCTATGGCCTCTGCAACTTGTGAGCTTACATGGATGAAATATTTGTTGGATGACTTACGTGTTGATCACCACATGCCAGCAAAGTTATACTGTGATAATCAGGCTGCTCTTCACATAGCAGCCAATCCCGTGTTCCACGAGCGTACCAAACATATAGAGATTGATTGTCATGTTGTTCGTGAACGCATTCAGTTAGGAGTCATCACGACAGCCTATGTTCGTACTGGAGCACAATTAGCCGATATATTCACCAAGCCACTTGGACAAGGGACTTTCCGATCCTTACTGGGCAAGATGGGTGTGATTGATATTCACATTCCACCTTGAGGGGGAGTATTGAGCAACAATATCTTAGAGTATTACTAAACATTATTCTAATGGAAGCCATCCTCTTCTGTCAAAGATGCTCCACTCACCATGCACCATGGACAGCATATCATGGACAGCAGTCTCCACATGGATGCCCTGACAGCCGCGTCATGGACAGCAAGGATGCCATTTCAATATTCTTGTTTACTGCATGCGTATGCAGTAAGATGTATATAAAACCCTAAACCTTTGTTGTAATCTTCAGTATGAATTAATCAGATTGCCTTCTATTCTTCTTTTACTTGATCAAAACCTAGCAACAGCTAGTTCATATTTTAACATTTTTATAACTGAATCTGTGTGCGTGTGCGTGTTCCACGAGCGTTTATATCATCAAATAAAATCAGTCTCCAAATTTATTCACCTAAAAATGTAGCAGATTACTTGTCGATTGTCACATTGCCGACTCTAAACTAAATCATATCTGCAAGTCATGGATAGTTCAAGGAACACAGCCTATATTGAATGGGGGAAAAGTCACTACTCAATTAACCAACAATCCCAGGCACAATGATAATAAGAAAAACTATCTTACGTTGCATTGTCTGCAACTGATGCCTAAACAGAACTTGGGATGGAATATTGAAGGACCGAAGAATTGGTCGAGTTAAACAAAAATACTATTGCTATGCAATCGTTCATATGTACTTACAGAACAGATTAAGGACAAAATTCCATAGACATTGAAGTTCCCACTTCATTTACATTTTCACCAGCTAATGCGATCACTTGGGCTTGGTGGAAAGAATCCGATCGATTTCACCATTCTTGTTGTAGGAATCGACAATCTTCTTTGCATATGAAGGCATATGCTGATCAGCTCTGCATGTTTTCATATTCTCTTTGGGTAAATTGCATGTTTTCATGGTTATAAATATAAGAAACCATCATCATAGTTGCTACTATAAGATAACTAATATTGAAAGTTGCACCTTTGTTTTCCCCATGTTCGGTTTACATATAGGTAGTTCCGGATGGTATGGTAATCGAGCGAATAACGAGCAAATTCCAAACCTTTTGGGCCAATCTGTCCCACAAGAACCAAGTCATAAAATAAAAAGCATGTATAATTATATAATTCTTAAATGCATCATACTGTCTTTACCAAGTTTAACAAGAAAGCGATCACATTGCCGACAAACTTTGGTGCAGGCTCAGGACCTTTTCCTGAGAAAACAAGATTATACAACAACGGTAGTCAGCATATATTTTGCAAGTTCTCTAGAATTGAACACGAGCTATTTCATAAACCAAAACGCCTTTGAGAAAAACGTATCATATTTTCTTCAGAACATGCAGTTCCATACATTTCCAAAAAAAGTATCTCAAAGAAGCTGCTCCACGTACCCATCTTAGCAGTATCATCAGCCTTAACAGTCTCCATGGTAAATGGTCCGCGAGTACCCTGAAATTGGCTGTGCTTAGAATTTTTCACCCAAAGAAATAAGCTATCCTATAAACACTAAACTTCAATTTTGCAGAAATCACAGAGTACGAGAAATAGGATAGAATCAAGAGCTTTACACTACTAGTTGTTGGAGTGATCGCCAAATGCTTTTTAATCAGACTGAGCATCTCTCTTCCACGTTCATTTCTACAATTTGAAGGCAAGACAAACATAGATAAAGCTTTAGTTCTTTCATCTACCACCATAGTGGAATAAAAGATTGCAATAAAACAGAATGCTAACCAATAAGTACAACAAAAAAGCTGCACGCACACACACGCATAGTCTCAACAATGATATTACCTTACCGTAACATACTGTGGATGTTGGGTCATGCTGATTCCAGAATATTTCGGCACCCCCATGTATCCAACAACTAAATCCTGAAAAAGGTGTGAGACTCACCTTTATACAACTGAAAGTAGAAGTTAAGCTTCCAAGAGACTTGTAATTGTAATAAAAGATAGCATTCCTCCTGTTAAGTAATAAAGAGATGAAAGCTCACCGCTAAACCATTTGTATAGTCAAAACAGCTGAAAGACGCAGGGGACTGGTTAGACAACATTTAAGGAATGACCAATAAAAATGATAGTATTTGATAATCAAATATTCATGTGATAATTCTAATTGTGAAATATGTCATTTGAAATTTCAAAAAACTACGAAGTATTATGGGCAAAAAGGACAAACATTACCTATAACAAGAAGGAGCAATTACATCAACTAAGTCATTTGCTGGCAGAGAAAAATAAGGAACCTGTTTTGGTTAGAATATGAAACTAGACGAATTAGCATGACTGGGAGAGTAAATACCAAATTGAACACACAAAAATAAATAAATAAATAAATGTTTACCTCTTCAATATGACCATCCAAATGCTTCAAGTGAACCTATCAAGATTACACGAATATTTAATCAAAGAAACGATAGCTAACAGTAGCTGCTAAGAAATGCTTACACTAGAAAAAGTTGGTGTATAAGAATTGTTAGACAACCGGTGTCTGTTTTACTGCTATAAATATACAGTGAGATATCTGCAAAAGATATAAGCCATTCGCACGTATTTTTTCTTTTCACTCATGTCAATTGTTAAGAGATAAAAAATAAAAAATTCTTCCAGAAATGTTTGTACGATTTGTGAAACATGATTTACTGCAACATCAAACAAATGTGGGTGAAACCCTTCGAAATATTAGTTAAGAACTCACTCCACCCCAGGTCATTCCCCCTTTTTATAATAAGAATATTGCTGAAAGTGTTAAACAAAGGGTGCAATGGCGCAAGTGACCTGAGGCTCACAACTTTGAAACATTGCTCAGACCTTGGAACTCTAAACTTGCACAGGCACGAAGAATTGATTAACACAAACCTTGTAATCTTGCATAAACTCGTAATGAAGAACTGTCTCTGGTTCACTACTCGCAGCCTTCAGAAACTTATCAAGGCCTTCTCGAGTCCCGTTGTCCACTGTCAAACAAGAGCATTAGTACTGATACAAACTCTGTTACTCATTACTTATGCCATATAAATAATAAAAGGGCATTATATATTTGTTAACTACATGTTTCAGGTAATCGTAATGATTCTGCTGTTGAGGATATGCTGATTTTGATTGTGAAAATAGAATGATACAGCAAGGCTTTTACTGACCGCAATTTGTTCCTAGCACGTAGAGCTTGTCCAAATTTAAGTGGTGCTCCACAGATCGTAATGCTGCATTTTAAGAAATTACTCTGCATTACAATAGTATAAGTCACAACAGAGAAGGATTGAAAGTAGAAATTGCAAAATTATATCATAAATGATACCTTGCACCTGGCAACCCACACCACAGAATAGAAGCTTTTTTACACCTGCAGCCTGTTTCATGGAAAAATGCAAAAACTTGTCTCACTAAAACTTATAAGAAACATTTTAAAAGTTTTACGAATTGAAGATTATAGTTGAGTTCCTATGATTTCTCTATTTCAGAGCCCAAACTCCATCTAAAGAATAGGTCTGCAACTGGACTGGGGGGCATTATGCCTAAAATCAAACATGAAACAAAATCTAAAAGGAAAAATCACTCCAACATGTGAACCCACAAGTTAGGAACGGTACAAGGCCAGACATGCAAGAATTCTTCCTCCTGATTGGCAGTCTTGACCACCTTCAAACATTACACCCACAAATCTCCACTAAAAATGAATCTATATAGAAGGATCAGGGAAATCTGGCTGTTAATATTGGAGGAAGTTCACCCTCTGAAACAAAAAGAAGATAGTACCAAAGGCAGGCGACCATAGTTGCTTAATTAGATATGTAAGACTCTCACCTCAAGAGGAAGTCTAAGAAGGACTAGGAAGAACTGCAAAGTGCAAACTGTATTTGCTAACATTATCCGCAGTAGACAATGCCCCAACTTTCTTTAGCGTGATTGCCCAAATATATAAAAGCCAACACATTTGGGCATTTCAATAACCGTATACATGTCTTCTCATGCTTAACTGGTTTAGCTTTTAAAGTAGGACCTTTCTTCTATTTTGATATAAAAGACACTTATCACTTACTCTTACCAATGTTGAATGAATGACAAAGCATGTTAAATGGCACAAATAGTAAATAAGATTTCTATCACTGATGGAAAAGAATACCAGGTACCTCAACTAGGGCAAGGGTATTCAGATTAGGAGATAATGTCGGCTTGACACCTCTAGCAGCTAGAACTTCCTCTGGTGTCCTTTTGAGAAGAGGCAAAGATAAATGACATGGTGCGGATGAAATGACAATAACCAGAAAACAAAAAGAAAATCTTAATTGAGAAATATCGAAATATTAGAAGAAATTTATTATAAAGCAAAAATGAACTAGATGCAAACCTTGCTAATACAGGTCGAGGAGTAAATCTGTCGTTTGGGTCACTGTGAAAATTAAAACCATAGGAAGATTTAACATTCTAAAAGAAAGAAATAAAGGATTGAAAAGCAATGGCATATGCGTTTATTATGTATTATGCTCCGGTGAATTCAGGCCACAACCTCTGTACACAAATGACGGCCTCCACCATGCCTGATTTCAGCATTTCGATTGCAATAGTTGTTACTATTCCTGTCCACTGAGCTCCTGCCATAAAGAAAATGAGGCAAAAGATTCGTACTGCAGCAACAAGCAAAACCAAACCATAATCCAAAGATGCACTTGAAGTATATGGTTAAAGCAATTTACGCAATATACATAAGAAATTATTTACACAATTTGTGATTCTTTAAAATAATTAATGAAGTTCAAAATTTTAAAAACTGAAACTTGAACTGGCAGAGTTGGTAGAATCAGTAGCAATGTTAAATAGGATGACTTTAAGATGCCTAAAAAAAATGAGACAGATACCAAAGCCTGTAAAACAAAAGTACCTTCGACAGGCTTTACTTTACGAGCATACAAGAGCTCTTCATAGACACCCAAGTACATTTCATCTGAGGAACCCGGTTTCCTCCCTCTACCATGAACTACAGGTTCCAAACCCTGAATGCGAAAACAAAAGAGCAGTGATGATTCAAATGGAAATCATGGGTGGCAAAATTTGGTTGGGTCATTAAGGAATTAGATTATGAACCCCATTTCGAAGTTCGATCACTTAGTACTTCGAATTTCGGTATAGCAGTGGATAATTCATAGCGTATACTGTGCCTCTAACTGGTTTCAGGACTTCATGAGATAATAATAACTTGCATCAACCAACTTTTCAAGTTTGAAATTCAGAAAAGTAAAAGGATTGGGAGGGGAACAAGAACTCACTTCAATCTTAGACATTCCATCTCCTAAGAAAGCACAAGCTTCCTTGACATGGGCAATGTAATATGTGTCACACAACCCGCAACGACTGCCCAACACACAAAGATTCAGCAAACAAATGAACAAAAAAGTTCAAACTTGATACACATAAATTTGATAGAAGAAAATAGAAGTCAAAATTCTTGAAAAACGAAAAGTTGGCAATGAAAATAATGAAGTCATTTAATAACCATTTCGTTTTTAATGTTAGTGATATGCAACATAACAATGAAAATTCAAAACTAAAAACGAAATAATTATCAAACGGGCCCAAGAGACCTGCAGTGGTCTTTAGCCGGGTAAGTGCCGCCGGGTGGGATGGCCCTGGAGCGTTGCCGCCAGTCCTCTCTCAGCTTCACCGACTTTGAGTTGGTTTTCCCATCTGTTTCAGTTTTCACCACAAAACACACAAAACTTGCCTTATATATGAAGCAAATACAAACAATACAAACAGAGACCAAGAGTTTTGGAATTGGGTTACCCTTGGAGGAAGAAGAAGATGAGGAGACGATGGAGAGGGAGAGTGGAAGCGAAGGGAGCTTGGCAATGACAGAACACATTGCAGCAGCAGCAGCAGCAGCAACAGCAGCTCAGAGAGAGTGACTAGAGTGCTGAGGCTGGTTTGCTAAGAAGAGATATATGCCATTGCAAAATCCAAGATAGCTTCCCCATCCTCGTTTCTCTCCCCAAAACCATGGCCACCATGAAAACCTCCATAGTTGCCTGTCTCCTGCCCACGTGTCCATTTAAATCTCCTCCTATAAATAACTTCTCCGTCTGAGCAATTCCTTGTACCAAGTCTCCAAGATCTTCCCAAAATTTCTCCTTCGAACTCGTATCCAACCCTACTTGAGGTGCGTACGCACTAATCACATTGATAAGTTCTTGTCCTATTACAATCTTGATTGCCATGATTCTATCTCCTACCCTCTTGACATCTACAACATCTTGTACCAAGGTCTTGTCCACGATGATGCCAACACCGTTTCTCGTTCTATTTGTGCCCGAATACCAAAGTTTAAACCCTGAGTTTTCTAGATCCTTTGCCTTACTACCAACCCACTTAGTTTCTTGTAGACACATAATATTTTATCCTTCTCCTCACCATAACTTCCACTACTTCCATAGATTTTCCCGTTAAGGTTCCTATATTCCACGTTCCTAAACGCATTTTGCTCTCTTGAACTCTACCCTTCTGTCTTAGCTTCTTCACCCTCCCCCGTCTAATAGGATCAAAGTACTTCTTTTTGTGTGTCCCGGGTAAAGTTGATAGGAGCATATGCTCCCAAACAACTTTGAGTGGAGTCGTTCGAAAAAGAAGTTTCTATGGCCCCCTTGCTCATTTAACACTGCATCCGGGTGCCGATGGAGATACAGCGACCCTTGCTCACTTATCACTGTGCTCGGGCCACACAGCGCGCCACTTACGGGTGACGCCCTAGCTTTAGCGCGATTTTGTTCTGGATTCATTTTCATAAGGATTCGACGTGATCATGGAGTGCCGGCTGTCGACTACCTGACGCCCTCCCCCTCCTCCTTTATCCGGGCTTGGGACCGGCCATGTAAGACATAGGCGGAGTTCCATACGGAAAACTATGTAGGAAGTAAATAGATAGGCCTGTAACTGTTTTTGTTTAACATCCTTGTGAATGTTTAAGGCCGTAGAACACAGCAAATTTTATTAGATATTATCATAAATATCCAACCTCGTCTGTCGGTAACTTATAAGAATAATTCGGTTGGCTTGCCTATGACTGTCGCTGAGCAATTTAGAATCCTGCCTATATAAAAGTTAGTTTTTTATTGGATGCCTCTAGTATTTTCTCCTTTAGACCTGAGATACAGTTAGTGTCTTAACATGAAGACTACATGGTTTTTCAGGTAGTTGGAGATGACTTGATAACATCAAATCCAAAGCGTATTAAGAGAGCTATTAGAGGAGTCCACCTGCAATGCTCTACTCGTAAAGGTATTTAACGGTTTTGAGATATTTTTAATACTGATATTTTACTGTTATGGCTTTTTTTGGGATGAGAGATAAGGTAGAGGCAACTGATAATTTTTACAATTCAAAATCAGATAAACCAGATTGGAACAGTGACCGAGACCATTGAAGTGATGAAGCTGGCAGAGGATGCCCACTGGGGAGTGGTCATGGCTCATAGATGTGGTGAAACTGAAGATTCCTTCATAGCCGACTTAGCTGTTGGTCTCTCAACTGGTCAGATCAAAGCTGGTGCTCCTTGCAGAGGCGAACGGCTGGCCAAGTATAACCAGGTAAACTTTTATACAGTTCCATACTTGATATTCTATATCCCTATGTGGAGTTCCCTTTTTGATAGCTGATGCTATAGAAACAAGTAATTGCAATTGGAATCGTCCAAGGACAAGCGTCGATGCAACAGAAATATTTGTCTGCATTATATACAACTCAAGAGTCAAAACTTCCTGGAAAATTTCTTCCTTTTTCTCCTCTTTTTATTCCGTTAAATAACAAAATATAAAATCCTTCATAATAACTAAAGCAGTTTTCTTTCTATGGTCTTCCATCCTTTTATTTTCTTAATTTCTACTATGCAGCCATATGTCTGGGTACAAACGAACACATGATTTGAAACTGATGGGCCAAGTTTTATTGCAGTTGCTTCGAATTGAGGAAGAACTTGGGGACAATGCATTTTATGCTGGTGAAGAGTGGAGAAAATCACCCTGATCATTTTTTCTCAGGTTTCCTCCTCACAATTCTCTTCTCCTTATATTCTTCATCTAAAGTCCAGGGCTTATACTTTCAACGTCACAAATATTCAGCAACATGGTCCACCGGTCACCGATCGTTCTTCTGCTTCATTATTTTGTTATCAGAGTGTTTTCTCCTTTTGTTTTCTCTATGACTGGAGTGGAGAGCAGTCTGGAATGTGTAATTAAGTTTGCTAAGGTGTTCTAGACATGGGCGGTTCGCCTAATTAAATTTTCAGATACACATTGCAGAAAGAAAAAATATTTTTGAGTAAATTTTCTGAAGTTCTAGCTTGCCCCAGGATTTTGGAAGATAAATTGCTGGTACTTTCCTGGTCAATTCATTTGCAATTTAGAACTGTGTGCTCCACCCCGTATTTTTAAAAGAAAAAAGATTAAGCGAGATTAGCACTTTGATAATGGCCGCATGCATTCGTCGAAGTAGAGTCTTATATGTGAAGGCTTTTGGACAAAAAAGTAAATTTTGTTTGGAAGTGCATTTTAACTTTTCTATTAAGTGTCAAATGAGCCCTTGATCGCATGTGACTAAGGTGAAATAAATCAAAATTAAGTCTGACAAAATTAGTTGACAGACATTACTTCCTCTTACCGTCAGTTGAAATAAAACAAGAAAATGCACAAAATTAATTAATTTGCAGTTGCCTGTTACCACAAATTAATTTTTTTTTTTTTTTGGTCAAACAATAGATTTTATTGGATTAGATGTTAAATTATTGTTAGAATTCAAACTCATACCGTCATACAAGAGTTCCAATTTTTTTTTAACACTGTTGAGGATCATAGCAGCACTTCGTTTTGATTTGTAAACAAACTATATATTTTATCTTTGTCTTGGGTTACAGTATAATGTTTAACGATTGAATTTGTAAGACGGTTTAACAATTTTTTCAGACGTACTATTCTTGCCAGATCCTCAAGTATTATGGCTTCTACTTTTCTACTTTTCTACTTTCCCTTTTTTGTGTTTTTCCTCCGTGTAGTAGGCTGATTACTTGAAACTATGATATTGATGACACTACGATCTACAAATGAATGTTTCTTATAACTATCCATATATAGTAAGCAAAGTTTGACTTCATTGATTCTTGAGAGTTTTAATGAAAAGGGCTTGGATCCAAAATATTTTAACCAAAAATCATCCTATAATTTTCTTTAACCAAAAGCACCTCAAAATTAACCATAAGGACAGGGCTTTCAAATTCTACATGGGCTGGATTACAGAGCTCAACATGGATAAAATTAATTCCAAAAGTACCCCTAATAGTAAAATTAATTTGCAATTGCCTGTTACCACAAATTAATTTTTTTTTTGTCAAACAATAGATTTTATTGGATTAGATGTTAGATCACTGTTAAAGTTTAAACTCACACCGTCATGCAAGAGTTTAACTTTTTTCTACCACTATAATAAAAGACCACTTGCTGTTACCAAAAATTAATTTGACTTTCACATTTTTAACATGAAATACAAGGAAACAATTCTTGCAAGTATTAGTTTTCACTTGCGTGGACAATTAACAACCGTTGATTACTCTGCAATTTGCATTAATCTGCAATTCTATGAACCTGCTCATGTCCATGGCTCCTGTAGCTGTCACAATTCTTCTCCCTGCAGCTCTTTTGATGGAGGAGGATGTAGTTGCAGGATTTGGATCCGCTCCAAACCTTAATATCCGGAACCTAAGAATCAATTCATCTGGGCTGCACAAATTCAATCCACCTGTCTTTATTAACTCATTTTCCAAACCCACCACACAACCAATGGCTTTGATTTCTTTTACACATCAATTACGACCCAACTGATTTGATCCCTAAGCTTCGAACACTAAGGTCCGAAGCAAATCCAAATCCGTAGTTGCAATATTGCAAGAGATGACGTGTCAATCGTCTGGTACCTGGTGTTAAATTCTGCTCACATATTTTGAAAATTTGACCAACTTCTTGGTAACAAAACTCACCAGTGCCTTGACAATCTAGGTAAATTAGCAGACTAAACTTAATTATGCAACCCACAAATCAATTAAAAAACCAAGGAGAAACAACATTGTTTTACCTAACGGAATTGATTCGAAAACTCCTAGACTACAGATTTCCTAACTAATTGTCACAGAGAAAGCAAGAAAAACCTCAAACAGAGAAGTATTGAGAAATCCCTCCACATGGATTTTTAAACAGTAGTTCGAGTCATCAAAAGAGTATGCTGGTGATGACGTTGTGTGAACACTCAAACTTCAGGCTTGGTTTCGCCTTCATCGTCTTCTTCTATCTTGGGAGCCAAGTAGAACCTAATGTAGCCCATCTCTGCAATCTTGTACTCAACCACGACTGGAAGTTCAGAAGACAAGCTGATTGTGACTGTATTCGACAATGTGGTTGCCTTTGTGAACGAGTTCATGTACCTCAGAGCGAATGTCAACGACACTGGCTCGCTCATGTTTATGACCGTTGCTTCTTCAGGCTGCAATTCACAAAAATCAGAGGCAAAAATACACGAAGTTAGACATTGCACTAAAATACCGAAAGTCATGCAGCTAGCCAATTAATCTGTTTGAAAGGACGATATACCTTGTCAACAGTAGTGTTCTGCCGACAGACAATGTTAGCAGTGCCTATATCCCCTCTTGTGGAGAACTTCACACCTTCCTTGGTCACAGATATCACAACTGCAAGCAATATCGAACCATTACAAACACACCAAATTTAGATAACCATGAATCCTCTCGAGAGATCAGAAAAAATAGTACCTGTATCACCAATGCCGCTGAGGTCCTTACATATCCTAGCAAACTCAGCCGAGGGCATTGTCACAATTGACTGGTATTCTGCCTCCGGAATTCCTAGGTGCTCGCTATCAATATCCATCAGCTTCATCTCAAAATCAGAAATTTTATCTTGTGCTGTGATCCATCACCCAAAATCAAAACGATGAACAAATACATGAAACAAAAATCTAAAATTGGAGCATGGTAATAAACTATCACAAAACCAAAATCTTGTTTGCAAAACTTCCAATTAACGATTACAACTACCGGATACAATGTCTCCTAATGATTTATTAAGCTTTCAGTAAAATTTTCATCACTTAGAATTCAATTTCTCCAAATATGAGTGTATATATATTTCCATACAAGTAAAGAATAACAGCCTCTATCGTAGAACATCGATGAGGTACGAATTAATCAACATTGGCAAACACGGAATTAACAGAATTTACTTAAGTGTAATCCAAACATTAGCAGGTTAACCAAATAAGAGTGAAGCTGACAATTAAATCCAGTATAAATTTCAAGATTCATGAAAAGAAATTTAAAAAAAAAAAATTGTTTCTGTCTGCTTTCTTACAATTTCTTGCATATAAGAGAAGCAATTTACATAAAGAATAAAGAAAGAAAATTAACAGCCAATAATTAAAGTTGATAGCAAAAAAAAATCCCAAATTAATTAACCCCAAATGACTCAAATCAATTGGGGAAAAAACCCCAAATACAAAAATGGGGGAAGAGGAAGAAGGAACATACTGGGGCTTTCGAACATGAAGGTGACCGTGTCACTGCCATCGTCAGCCTTGATGGTGATGATGTCATCATTTCCGGCGCACCTGAGCATCTTGGACATGTTGCCGAGGTTCATGCCCATGGACATGTTGCGGTCGCAGCGGTAGTGCTCGAAGCCCTCGGATCTGAGGAGGAGGGCGACGAGCGCCACGTGGCTGGAGTCCATGGCCTGGAGGGAGAAGCCGGAGGAGGAGCAGTCGAAGTTGGCGTCGTTCACCAGGTCCTTGATGGACTCCAGCACCTTCTTCAGCAGCGACCCCTGAACCAGTCGGAGCTCCAACATCGTTTCCGGGTCGTCGGAAGAAGCGTTCTGGTTGTTTGATTTGGGCAATCTAGGTTTTTTTGGGCGGGGAGATTTTGAGGGTTTGAGTGAGGGAGTGGGGGTTAGGGTTTATATAGTGGGGGAAAATGGGAAGGCGTGTTTGGGAATTTCGGGTTCGATTGGCGGGATTTGATGGATTCGTGTTCCCGCGCAGGACTTTGAAGGGGAAGGATTGCCCGCTGGGAGGGTACAATATAATTATTCATGCACCTTCAGTTGTTTGGGTTGATTTCTGACGAGAAGAAAACTGAAGGCCCATGGCCCATAAAGAAAAAACACTGCACCATCAGGCCCATTTTTTAAATTCAGAAATCACCCAAAAAAAAAAAACTTAAAAGTCTTAAGATGAACAGGTGTATTTGAGAGACTTTAATTGATTTGTAAAAATTTTTATATAAATTTTTTATTCAATTTTTTTGAAATTTTATGGGGATATGTGAGATTTGTGAATGCTTAAAATACACTACGAAATATTTCGACTTCCCTCTAATTCCTTAATTTTCTCAAATTCTTTAAAATCAATTTATAATTAATACACATGAAATATTATAAACGTCTTTAAAATCCTAATTGAATACATTTGGATTTCTAAAGATTTTAATAAATTATCTTTAAAATTTTAATTAAATACACATTAAATTTTATAGAATTACTTAAAAATTCTGATTAAAATACCTCTAAATTCATTAAAATAATTAAAATCCCTAATAATCCCAATTCAAAAACACCCAAGAATAAAATAGCAAATGAGTGACAAAAAAGAAACAGTTGCAAATTTGCAATTGCAAAAAGTTTGCTTCTTCCAAGTTCCCTTCCTTCTAATTACTCATTAACCACCTTGTTTTTATCACCTTAATCCCCTAATTCCTCAAAATCCTTGCTTTTGAAGCTTTCGTTTTGCGCCTTCCAATGGCTGATCTCAGCCCCAGGTCTGAGATCTCCTTCTTGCAAANTCGGCAAAACTGGCCCCCACAGGTGAGGAGCAACAGATTGTGGTTGATAAACTGAAGGGTTTACTGCTAAGAACTTCTAAAGTTTTCTTAATGGGAAGGGTACTAACTCGGAAAATTTTGAACAAGGAGAGATTCAAGAAACAAATGAGTATTATAAGATTTGAAGAACGTGGGTGAATAGAAAATGTAGGATGTATGTAGAAAATGTAATGTGTATGTTGAGAATGTGGGATGTGAGGGCATTATGGGAAAGTATGTGAGGTGTATTAAGATAATTTTCATTTAAAAAAGCAAATGTGAGGTGTATTAAGTATGTGAGGTTTATTCAACAATATGTGGGGTGTTAATATAATAAGCCTAAATAAAATACTGATTTTCATATTTGTGTGTGTGTGTGTGTGTGTGTGTATTAGCATTTTCGTCCTTGTAATTTGCGAGATTGTA